CCGCCCTTGCTTGGGCGCAGGCATTCTCTGCGATGACGTGGTGAATTCGACGAAGTGATCGTCACATTGGATCAGCCCGTCCTTTGAAACCGCGATGGGTTTTCGAGGAGGTGGTCCTCTGATTCACCAGCCCATCAACGAGCTCTGGTAGCCGGGGTGCTGTTCGACGAGCTCGTCCTCTGATCTGCTATTGAGTCGCGCGATCTCTGACAGATGGGGTGCAGTCCGAAGAGCCTCCTTCTCTAATTGAAGGGCGCCGTTCGGCAAGCCTCGTCTCGGCGAACTTGTGGGCCGAATTCGCGCGACTGCGGAACTCTGCGAAGGCATGCGAAATTCGCTCAGGTGGTTCGTAGCGAAATTTCACATACGGAATGGCATTACGTCCTCGACGGTAGACATCTGACGACCAGTCGGAACATTTTCTACCTGGCACCGGCGCAATGTCTCTAATGGTGTAACCGTTTACCTACACCTACTCGGCATGTGCTCACCTGCGCAGATATTCACCTGCGAATGCAGTGCTGGCAGGTCGCCCTGCTCGCTGGCATGTCGCCCTTCTGCTACGCTGGCAAAAACCGCCCTTTTTCAGCATTGGCGAACCGCTCTGATGCAGTGCTGGCAATTCGCCTTGCAGAATGCTAGGGATTGCAATGCCATTCCAGTGATATCACTTGCATGCTCTTTTTTGTACTCTAATTTCTCAATTTTCAATGTTCTTTCAATTTCCTTAGAGGAAACTCTTGCCAAATCTCTCTGTGAACAGAGCAAGTAGTGAGAACTCTGTTAGAACGCTAATAGAGCGCTGCGATCACCCACACAACCCCGTGCCCTCCTTTGTAGTCCACTCCCGTTGAAGGGTGACTCTCCACATAATGAAGTCGCCATTCAAACACTTGTGGCTGATAACCTGGTTCCACACAAAGTTAGCGTCCCTGACATGGTTAAAGGTGACTTGCAAGCGGCCGAAATTCTTGTGGGAAAGGTGCATCGACAAGAGCTTCTGGTAGGTCGTCATTTGGAGCGCATCAGGTGAGAGTTGATCCTTCCAATCATACAGTAGCGCAGCAATCGTTATCGCAGCACGGGTAACCTCGGCCTTCCTGGCAAAAGGTACAAGCAGAGTTAAAGAGAAACGCTTAATTGCGATGGCGTTGCTGAGCGAGTCTGATTCAAGACGTTCATCCGAGTCGTCGCCCGGGTAATTATCGTCATCGTCGTCAAGAGCCATCTCGGACGTCTCGTCCTTGTCATCATGTAAGCCAGCATTAGCGTCATTGTCACCCGCCACAGCAGCATCGTCATCCCCCTCTGTAGGGTCTTTAACAGGCTCGCCATCATCAGCATCAGCCGTGCCATTCCCTGACGACGCTCCTTGGTCAGTGATGTTCTGCATATCCAGAAGGTCCTCGAAAGGCCCGTTCATAACAGCCGCCTTGTCTTTGGCGTCCACTCCAATAATAGGTACATCAAGTAATCCATCACCCGTGTTCTTGTAATCATTATGAGATCCCTTCTTGATACGGCATCCCTTAGGCGGCATCGCGTGATGATGAAAGAAGCTTGGCGGCCTGACGATGGCTGATACATAAGCCGTTCTCAGCATAGACTTCTTTGCAGCTGACATTTTATGTGTTTTGTGCTTGAAAGCAAACCTCTGCAGATCCAGGCTCGAGGCTCTCGCGAATCGCAAAGGTGTTGACGTCCATCAATGGGAATGCAAGGCCCTGAATTTGGCGCGAGCTGGTTGCTTGGTCTCGTGGTAGAATCAATGTGGTAGCTTGTGATGATATAAGCCCAGTGTAGCTGCATGATAAACTGGAGCTCAATCAATAGCTTGGAACTCAAGAAATAGGTGCTTAGGTTCCCGTTTTGAACACTAAAAAACACCGTTGGGTAGAGTTTAAAGCCACGCATCGACCGGTGACCTCACATCATTGATCATGCAAGAAATTGATGCACATTGGGCTTGTTAAAGCATCTGGCCTTGGCCGTGGCTGCTGGAAGGTGGAGAGCTCCATTCAACAGCAGCTTAGGCAAATTTTAATGAAACCCAATACTGAAACCAGTCAACGGTCCCTAGCAGGGGGGATTGTGGGGGGAAGTTCCAGAATGCATTTTTTCCTAAATACCCTAGCCAGCCATTCCAAAAGTGTCCAGGAACCTTGCTAAAACGTAACCCAACACACTGGACCGCGCTGGTTCAAAGTTAACTATAACGCGGGTGATAGCGCGCTTCTGTATGGGGTGAGTTTATAGTAAAGAGGAATCAGGTATACCGGAATCCACAATAGTGAAAAGCAGGGTGTACCTGGGAGTGAGGAGGGCGGGCGATTTCGCGAGCATCATCTGTAATAATTTACAGTGCCGGAATACCGTCCAGACTTTTGGCGGGCAACCTACCTCGCGAAAGACGTCAACCTTTGTGCTGCTTCCCAAATGGCCTATGGTTGGAACTTCCCGTCATCAAAATGCAGGCGAAGGATCAAGTTCCGCGTACTCCTGCCGCACCACCCGAATAGCTAAGTTCACTTAAATTTCCAGTAAGGGAACCAAGTACCCAGCAGATTCTTGAGTGATTCGCACCTAGCAGGATGCCCCGAACCACACTCGATATTGGTTTGGTTGGTTGGTGTCCGTCCGTCCCTGAGGCGATCCACCACCACCGCCACGCCGTAAATCTTCGAATAGCAGATTTGATTTCGTCGGAGTGAACTGTACATGTACATGTACAGCTAGCTCACGTTGCTGCGTTCTGTAGGCCACGCGGAGGAGGGGAGGAGGGGGGGCGAAGGTATGACGAGGGTTCCCAAGCAGTCTCCCCTTCGAATTAACCCCCCCCCCCCCCCCCCCCCCTGCTACAACCGAAAGTGGGATATTTCGGATTCTCGGGTGGAAGGCTCTAAAAGTAAATGACGAAAAGACAAGAACAATTTCGCACGCATACTTCATGGGTAGATAGAGCTTCGCCAAATCAGAACGAGGGTTGAAGTTGCGAGAAGGGTATCAGATGGAAGAAAATCGACCCCCAGCACACCCACCTGCAAGACACAAAACTTGATGATTTTTTTCCTGCTAGTGTTGCTGCGACCCTGTTTGGGATATTCAAGGATAGGGCTGTTTGCTTTATAGGGTAACAGAGTGGTATTCCCTATCCCTGCGCCTCCCTTCCACCTCCATCGCACCACCCCGAAAAAGCAGCTTTCGTAGGGCGAGGAGGAGGCAAAATTTGCCAGCGCAGGAAGGTGGGGAGGGGAAATGGGCAGCTTCCTATGACCTCATACCCTCCAGGGAGAATGGATGTTCTGTTGCCATTTACCTTCGTTTAGGTTTGGAGGGTAGTGGGAGGCTCAGAACCATTTTCCGGGCTGACCTCCCTTTCGACCCAAAAAACGAAGTTGGGGGAAGGTTCTTATTTACCACCTCCCCCCCCCTCTGGCGTGCCTACAGAACGCAGCCGTCGTTAAATCAGCACTTCCTGCTACAAAACATCTAGCGACAGTCGAACTTTCCAGACAGTGAACCACTGGACCAATCAACACAGCTCCAATGAAAATGAAAGTGTGTCTTTTGTCTTTGGTCCGCCCCGACTTGGTCCGTTGCTAATTTGTGCATGTCGGGACCGCAATTCTGGTCCGACGGACCTTTTTCGCGGACCAGACACGAGCTGGTCTACATGATACATCGCTTCAAGAGCTGCACAATATTTGCGAAAACAAAACACGATCGACGTGAATCAGTCATCTTGAAATCGAGTTACCTCCTACCTTTTGCTGGTAAAAATTCCCCATCCCGTCAGGAGCGACAGTCACGAACGGCGAGAGATTTCGCAAACAAAGTGAGAGCTGCTACAGTTACGGACCAGGCACGGGCTGGTCTGGTGACCAAATCAATGGCACCGCTGTAGTGCCATTCGAACGTGGTTAATAGTCACGCATCTCGGTCCAGTATGTCGGTTGTTCACAGGATGGTTATAGAGCTGGTCCGCGGGGTCCGTGTCGGACTCACGTGGGACCCGCACAATTGAGACACGTCCTGAATGTGACATGCGTAATAGGGCAACAGTGTAATTGTGCGATACAGATGTACTCGCTTGGTTCGCCAAATTTGAGTTGGGAAGTACATACTACTAGCCTGGAAGGCGCAGTTGACGTTCCGTCAGGATTCGATGAAAATTATGGGTCAGATCGCGAGGCGCGGCAAGTGATCGATGATTGCGTCAGATCGGGGTGATCACACCCAATCGCTCGCAATCTTATTCAATCGACCACCGATTGCGTGAGATCGAGGCGATCTGCATCACGTCCTTAAGAGAAGGGGATTGTACTTCAATACCCGCGTTGTACTTCTACCCGCGGGTTTGTACCTCAAGTCTTCTCCTACCCGCAACTTGGCCTCAAATGGAAGGAGTGGAATGGAACCACCAATATGGGTGGCTGTTCCCGCCCGTCGCTCCAAGTCCCGAATGTTCGAAAGCCAGCAGCACGAGGATATCTCACACGTACAGTCGATGCTCAGCCTATCACAAAACATTTGCTCTTTACAATTCGAAATTTAGTCACTCGCGAACGTTTTTCCCGTGAGTGACTAAATTGACCATTGTGCCGATTTCGGGGTACAGTCACCAAGTTGAGGAAGAAAAACATCTACAGTACATAAACAGCAACGGTTGCCCGTCATCAGAGAAGTTAACCTGGTTACAAAATTAAAGCCCATGACTCGATTCACGTTGCAATTTCATGTTACTGTCACATTTTTGCCCGTGGCGACAAGGGCGAACTTGGCGAGACGTTTAAAACACGTTTCACGCACATGCCGCCCGCCCACCCGGTGTTCTTGAAATGGGCACCGACTGTACACCCACACATTCACGGCTTGCCAGCTGGGTTTATCTACTACAAGAACCTGACGTCCTTGATTGTTCAGAGGAGCATTTTCTTGTGGCCTGGTGACCAAATATGCCACGTGACATTCTTCGAGGACTCACTCGGCCTATATTCGAAATGTATGATCTTCGCGCGCTCCGCATTCGCGGGTTACACAGCGGCGACTCGTCGTCGCCGTCATGCCCCAAACGCACTATCCAGAATAAAGTGTTTCGAGGTGAGTTCGGTAGACATCCCGCAGTAGTGAGGCTACAGTCGTGCTTCGGAAGCCCGAATGGCGCGCCGAGCTCCGCTCTTGATTACTTCCGCAGATACCGAGGGGTCGAGATTGTAAGACGAACGAGGGCGGTGCCTGAATTTGGCGGTGCCTGTAGATGATGGCCCAAAACATCCGGTCTTCTGCCCCATCGCGTGCTTCGCAAGCGGCGATGTTCGTAAAAATGCGACATCCGTTGTACCTCTACGCCTCTCCCGCCAGGCCCTGTCTTCGCCGTGCTCGTCTCGCTATGGCTGCTGTCGGGCGTGGCGTTCGCGGCGTGGCTCTGCTATTCGACGCACGCGACGTACCTTGGCGATCGCTACCGCCGCCTCGACACGTGGTGCTACGAGCGCGCCAAGCTCTTCGAGCAGCACACGCTCACCACCGTCAGCCAGATTAGGGTGAGCGATTTCAATGCACGCTACCATACGGTGGGTCAAAAAGCCGGCATTCCCACAAGCTTTGATCCCCAACAGCAAGTGGTTGAGCTAAGGAGAGAAGAGGGGTTTTTAGGGTTGGGAGCTTTTTGGCAGATGCTCGTTTCGCCTGCTGTCCCTTGTGGTCCCGCGCTGATACGCCATTTTGCGATCCATCCCTCAGCACGCACCGCGAAATGTGGCGCACATGCTCTGCGGATGGCTCTTCAACTCATCGCTTTCCTTTACCCACCGCTCACCCCCTGGTTTGTTTCTTGTTAAGCCCATCGTGGGAAGAGGGAGATGAGGAGGCGGTGGTGGGGTGCAGGGAAAGGGGAGTGGGAGTGGGAGGAGCTTAGGCTTGATAAGGGGGCTCAATCAGGGTTTCTGGTTTCAACCAAATCTGTGCATGCACGTTCTCGGTTTCAACAGCACCGTGCTGGTGCACAAAACGGTGCACAGCGGTGTGTGCGTTTAGAAGTTAGTATCATACATGTCACTTTCGCGGCAGTGACGTACGTACGCTGCTGCGATCTGAGTCCGGCTGTTACGCATCCACCCCTCCTGTCACCCCCACTCCCAAATGCCCACGCGGCGAGGCAGACTCTGTCCGGGCTGGCGTCGGTGATGGGCAAGCCCAGGGGCCGCGGCAACTGGACGTGGGACAGGTGCCTCACGGAGGAGCACTGGATGGCCTATGTCAGCAAGACCAAATACTCCCGACCAGGGGACACGGGCGCCATGGTCTGCCTCTTTGTTACGGACCAAGAGAGGTCAGTGGGCCGACTGATGCACACTGCAGCACTCTCTTCCGCGCTCCATAATTACCCACCATTCGACTCGATGCCGTTCTCCAAGCACATCCACACGATCCCGCCTTTGGGCCGGTCCGGCTGTCACCCACCCATCCCACCGTCAAACCCACCCAAGCTCCTGGTCTCCTTCCGTGTGCTTGCCATGCGCCCCCCCTCTGCTGCTGTGCCGTGCGCAGGCCTGCCTTTGAGCGGTTCTACGGCGGCCCCATTCTCGACTTCACCTTGATGCGGCGCCAGCAGCAGCCTGTGTACTGCCCCAAGATGCTCGAGCTGCACTCATACTGGAAAACCCTACTGCTCGTGGACCTCATGCAGCGCGGGCCCGAGCTCGCCTACCTGCGCAAGTCGGGGGACATCATCTTTAGCCATGTCACGCCCATCGGAAACCTCTCCCTCAACATCACCGGCTTCGGTTAGTCAGTCAGTCAGTCCCCCGTAACCTTGCTAGCACGGCCGATTTCCTCGGCACCGCGAATCCTCTGTTCTTGCTCTCTTCCAATAACCCTCACTGATCTTCACCTCTGTTTAACATGCCTGGTTGCATCCCCTGAGAGCAGCCATCGGAGTGCCCATCTTGCAGCATGCGCTGCCACTGAATCCCACGGAGCAGCAGGCGGAGGAGGCGGTGCTGGGAGCAGCTGGGGCGAACGTGGACGTCGTAATGATCACCCGCCACGTGCTGCAGAACGTCTTCACTCCAGGTGCTGCGAAGCGGGTTCACCTCCTTTGCGTTTCAAACCTTGCCTTCCTTACCCTTTCCGTCGTCTCCGTTCCCCTGGCTCTTCTCTCCTTTCTTTCCCGAGTTTATCTGCCCTGACATGCCCCCTTCATGGCCCCCGCATGTCTTGTCGTCTCCCAGACCCCAGCATCACATTCGAGGTGTATGAGACCACGGACCCCAATGGCCCGATAATGATCTACGGTCCGGGCCCACGCCTTCTGTACTACCGCGACCGCGACATCCTTCCCATCACCGACATCTCGCCCCCCAATGTCACGCGCCCGTGGGAGGAGCGCTCTGTCGTGCCGCTCGACCTGCTTGGGGGCCGCCTGCGGCGCTACCAAGTGTGGTGCCGGTGAGTGTGATCCATGGAAACCCTGGTAAAGTGCAGCCATTAGCCTTTCTCCACATGCTTGCCTTCACTCGGCTCTATCTGCAACACACAACACCACCATTCACCCCCAGCAAAGTTGTTGCCTCTGCAAAGCTGCCTTATCCCTCGTCACGTTTTGTGATTGTGCTTGGTGGGCTCTTCAATGCTTCTTGGCTCGTGCGCGCCCGCCCTCCATCCAGCTACGTGGAGGCTCCAAGCGCGTGGCTCTCCTGGGCTGTGCCCTTCCTGTGGGCGGCTCTCGCTCTCATGGTAACGGCTCTGGTGGCGGCGGTGGCGTGGCAGCAGCGGGTGGGGTATGTGCGCAGCGAGGAGAGCATGGCAGCGGCGGACCAGCTGAGAGGGAAGGCGCGGGCAGCGGAGCGGTCGAAGAGCTCGTTTGTGGCGTCCATGTCGCACGAGCTGCGCACGCCCATGCTCGGCATCGTGGGGCTGCTCGATGCTCTTGGGGACCGCCGCCTCTCTGCCGCCCAGCTGCACGACGTGCAGGCGGCGCGCGCTGCCGCGTACGACACGGTGCGGCTCGTCAACCGCGTGCTCGACCTCTCCAAGCTCGAGGCGCGCCGCATGGCACTCTGCTGCTCGCCCTTCCACCCGCGCGCGTGGCTGGAGGAGGTCCTGCTGGGCTGCTGTGAGCTGGCACGCCACAAGGGCATCGAAGGTGAGTGCATGCGGGGGGAAGGCATTGATGGTGAGTGCATGTGGGGGGGAGGAGGGGTGAGAGGGAGCTGGGCAGAGATGTGGATTGAGTTTGTTTGAGTGCGCAGCAAAAGACATGGCTGTTCGTCTTGGATCAGGGGGTGACGCAAGAGGCAACTTGCGTGTGACAGTGGATTCGACTCACCATGTCGATCTCCTCTTATGGTACTGACTGTGCTGTGACCGTGACGGTGCTGTGATGGTGGTGTGGCAGTGGCGGGCATGGTGGACATGGGAGTACCTGCAGTGTTGCACATGGACACCATGCGACTCACTCAGGCGCTCAACGAACTCATAGGTCAGCCGTCCTTCCCACCTTAACGAACCCATGGATCAGTCTTTCCCACCTCAACGAACTCATAGGTTAATCATCGGTCAATCCACCACCACTGTCCGAGCTCACAAGTTCAAAAAGATGGTTTTTGTGAATTACGGTCCGTTTTTTACGGTTTTTTTTTTTTCAAAAATACGGCCGTTCTTTTGTTAAAGAGCTTTTGTCACTAAGAAAAGAAATTGCAAAAACAGGTTGGATACATTTTCATTTATGCCCACAAATGCACACATGCAAGGAGGGGTTCGTCTCCTCGTCCTGGTGATTTTCGCCATCAAATTGGTCCCATAAATTGGCCAAGTTTTTCTTCAAACATAAATTGTGTTCTGGAACCGTTTTTTACCGTTTTTGTTTATGGCCGTTTTTTACTGTAATTTTTCAAAAATTGGTCTTATTTTTTAACCTTGCAAGCACATTCCTTCCCCCTCTTCCCTCCTCCGCCCTTACCTCAGCGATCTCATAGGTCAGTCCAGCAACACAAACCAACCCTTTAAACCCCACTTCCCACCTTCCTCTTTCCCGCCCGTCCTTCCTCGTGACCACAAATGCTCTCATGTAGTGCATCATTGCCGACTCTCACAATGCATTACAAAATTCCCCTTATGGTTGGTTCTAATTGTAAGGGTAATACTTACTCTTGTGATTGGGACTAAGAGTATGTGTGTTACTTATTTTTGTTGTTTGTTCTAAAGATAGCGTGTTACTTATCTTCATTGTTGGTACTAAGAGTACAAGCGTTACTCACGATTTTGGCTGGTACTAGAAGTAAGTGCGTATTTTTGTCATTGATGCTAAATGAATGCCCATTACTTATCCTTATGGTTGTTAGTAAGTAAGTTACTTACCTTTATCGCTGATATTAAGCAAATGCGTGTTTCTTACTCTTATGGTTGGTACGAAGAGTAAGTACGTTATTTTCCTTTATGGTTGGTACTAAGAGTAAGAGCTTGCCCTACTTTTATATTTAATATTAAGCGTAAGTTACTTACCCCTATGGTTGGTACTAAGAATAAGTGTGATGATTACATTGGTTCGCTAGATCAACGCATAAATTTTTACTCTCTCTCACAATGCTTTGTTGCATTGCGTTACAAGCCATCCCATCTTCTCAACCCCCCACCACGGGCAGACAACGCGCTGTGCTACACGACCCGTGGGCACGTGCTGGTGCGAGCGTCTGTGTGCCCTGCCACCACCTCCCTTGAGGACTTCCTCCACCTCCACCTCCGTCAGTGCCGCCCTGCCCTTCCTTTTCTCCATTCCATCCCCCCCCTGCACGCACTCCGCTCGCTCCACTCACCCCTCCCACCCCACTCGCTCGACTGACAAATCCTGTGTCTCTACCTTACTCCCTATAGATGCATGTTTGCTGGACGTAGCTGCTTTCGCCTTCCAAACACTGTCTGGCTAAGCCGCCTCGGGTTTATTTCATTTGCTACTACTAAACTCTTTTGTTCTCGTCCTCCCCCCCTTCCTCTCCTCGTCCTCTTTTCATTCCAAAAAACCCGTCAATGCTGTTTGCCCTGCCCCCCCTCCTGCACCCGCATATCAGTCGCTCCGCTCCAACCCTCTCCTCCTCCTCCTCCTCCTCCTCCTCCTCCTCTGCCTCGTCACCCCTGGTGGCTCTCCTGGTTGGCCTGCCTCCACGTGCAGCTGGTTCGTCTCTTCAGTGCAGCCCCTGCGACACGCTGGGGGGAGACGTGCCGGAGGGAACAGGAGCCACCAAATGAGGGCGAGGCTGATGAGGATTCCTCACATCGGGCCATGCTGGGACAGGAGGAGCAAGTGGAGGATGCGAAGAGCAAAGAGGATGGTGAAGGGGATGACGCTGGGTGGAGCAGCGGCAGTGGTGGAGAGGAGATGCAGCTGGTGCTGTCGTGTGCCGACACAGGGTGTGGGTTTGACTCAACGAGGGAGGAGCTGTCAGAGTTCAAGGTGAGATTTCGAGGATGCACTGAATCTAAGAGAGCGTCTGACATGACACGCGGTGACATTGGGGCGATTGTGAGACCCCGATCATCACAGGCCAGCGTGCGTCTTCGCAGTCTTTGAAGTTTTGTCTCGCACAGGTCTTTGTCTCGCACAGGTCTTGCTCTCTCTTCCTTACATGTGTGAATCAGTACAGGGGAGGGTCTGATCATTCGTCTCCTTATCTGCCTTTTATCCTACCCTGCAGGGGCGATCGGAGAGTGGAGGAGCAGGCCTGGGCTTTGTGCTCGTGCACCAGCTGGTAAGCTCTCTCTCCCCGTGCTCCTCCCTTACTGAGCCCCGTCCTGTCCGTCGCTCTGTGCTTTTCCCATTTCTACTCCTAAATCCATTCCTCACCTGAACCCCATCTACCCCTGCGCCCGCCATCTGTGCCATCTCCTCTTTTCCCGTGTCATCCCCCCTTCCCCCATCCATCCCCCCTCCTCCTCCCCCCCTTTCCCCCTCCCACTCCCTCTGCCATGCCCCTTCGCCCCCCAGGTGGCCCTCATGGGTGGCCGCGTTGCCTGCCTCTCCCACCCCGGCACCGGCTCCACCGTCGCTTTCTCCGTGCCCTTCGCCCCAACCCGCCGCCCTCCCCCTTCGGCTTCCCCTGCTCCTCCCCCTACTGCTCCTGCTGCTGCCGCTACTCCTGCTGCTGAGGCAAGCGGGGGAGAGGAGAGCGGGACACAAGAGGGGGTTGGGAGGTCCGCAGGGGAGGGATGGAGTTGTGGGCCGTGGTTGGGGGGTAGCAGGTTGATGGGGGGAAGCTGGCTGCGACGCTTGGACGTGCGGCACAGTGCCATGCAGGGCAGGCGGGAGAGCGAGCCGTGCAGAGTGGAGACTGGGGGAGGGTGGCATGCAGGGTGCACGAGGGGCGTTGAGGAAGTGACTGTGGGCGTGGTGGGGGCGGAAGGCAGCACGAGAGAGGTGAGACTGCTGGGGGTGTGGTGGCATGTGAGAGTTGCAATTGGGGTGAGCAGGTGGTGCCATGTGCGTGTGTGTGTGTAAGAGGGGCAGTCCATGGGAGTGGGATGGAGGATTCGTGATGGCCATCATCTCACTCACCTCCTCTGTCGCTTCTCTCTCCTCTAGATCCCTCAAGGCTGAAGCGTGATCTGCATCTTGCTACCGTTCCCTTTCCGTAACAGAAACCCGCAAACCACCTTTCATCCACATGTAGAAGCGCCGCAAACCCTCTTGTATCTCCCCTGCGGTTGCACCTTTGCCCAATGCAAGCACCCGTTGTTGTGCCACCCATTCATTGCCGTTCCTTGAATCTGCTTGCCGCTCCCTGGGCAGCTCACGGCGCTCATGCTGGCAGCTCTCGGAGCACACGTGCACGTGCTGCCCCGCGCTCTGGATCGCGTGTACGCTGCTGACGCCCGTGCTGCCGAGGGGGTGACAAGCAGAGCTGAGTGGAGCTGCAAGGATGCAGCGAGGGCACAGGGGGGGGCGGAGGAGATGCGAGACGGCACGTGCATAGGGAGTTGCTTGAGCGGTCGGATGGACAGAGGAATCAGGGAGGATGGGGAAGAGGGAGATGGTGCAGGAGAGGGAGGGGATGAAGAAGAGGGTATGCCATGTGTGGTGGTGGTGAACGAGGAGGACCTATGGTGGCAGCAGGGCGGGAGAGCAGCAGCAGGCATGCGGTGGGACAGGGACAGTGGGGCTGCCGCAAGGCAGGAGGATTCCCAGTGTGGGTGGAGCGGGCAGCAGGGTGGGCAGGGGGGTGGGGGCAGAGGCGCAGGTGTGGTGGCGCTGGCGCCGCGGGAGGCAGCAGCATGGCAGGCAGCAGCAGTGGGGCTTGTGAGGCGCTGCATAGCGGCACACAGGGGTGGGGGGAGAGAGGAGCTGGGTGGAGGGAGAGGGACGGACGGGGGAGGAAGGATAGAAGAGGGAGTGGGGGGATGGGTTGGACGGGCAGGGAAGGGGAAAAGTGCCAGCCCCACAGCAGAGAGGCATCCTTGCTGGGATAGGGTGACAGGGATCGTCATTCTCACTGCATGCTCTGCTGGATCCACACGGGACGAGGGGGAGGGGAAAGAGGTGGGGGAGAATGGGTGGAATGGGGGAGTTGGAGAAGGCGGGGTGGAGGAGAGCACAACTGTAGAAGGTGGAGAGGAGGAGGAGGAGGAGGAGGAGGAGGAGGAGGAGGAGGAGGAGGAGGAGGAGGAGGAGGAGGAGGAGGAGGAGGAGGAGGAGGAGGAGGAGGAGGAGGAGGAGGAGGAGGTGTGTGATGATGAGGGAGGGATAGGGATCGTTGGGGGACCGGGACAGGCGTCCCCCGGCCCCTGTACAGCCTCGTTAGCCTTGTCGCTGCCTGACATTGCCTCTGCCAGTGCTGCTGCTGCTCCCCGTGTGGTGGTGTGCTGCCGCCCGCTGCTCGCCCACCGCCTGCACCACGCCGTCCAGGTGAGGTCCACACTTCTCTCGTCTTCCAAGCACCCGCAAAACTCAACTCTCCACTCAACAGCCTGCACCAGGCCATGCAGGTGTGTTGCACTGCACTGCACTGCATTGCACTGCACTGCACTACACGTCAGCCATGCTGGCCAAGGCAGCTGTGAGAGTGTGTGTGCCGAGTGAGCCGGCTGTTGCCTGCTAAGCTATAAGAATGCACTCACGCAGTGGTTCAATCTGGCCACCAACCACCCAACCAGGCCTATTGCCTCTCTCCTAGCTCGGCAGCCTGGCGTTGGCGCTGCTAGGTGTCATTACCGCTTGGTGTCAGTGCTCCTCTGCTGTCATCTGCACCTTGCCTCGGCGCCGCCAGTACCGTCACCTCGCCTCCTCCCACGCCTTTCTTTCCCCGACCGCAGGTGGCAGCGTTTGGAGTGGATTCTATGAGTGCATGGCATGGCAGTGCAGGGTGCGAGCGGCAGGACAACACCGAGCCTGCGCAGCAAGCACAGCACGGCAGGCCGCAGGAGAGTGGTGAGGAGAGGCAGCTGAGCTCAGGCAGACAGTGGAGTGAAGAGAAGGGCGATGAACACAAGTGCGAAAACACAAGTGCGCGTACTGTGGGGAGAAGTGTGAGTATGCATGCTGCAAGCCTGACAAGAGTTCAGCCTTCTAGCTGCACAGCAAGTCGGAGGGCAGGGGCAGGGGGGGCGGTGGGAGCATCAGGGGCGGCAGGGGGTTTGGTGGCAGGGTGGCGGGTGCTGGTGGTGGACGACACGGCAGTGAACCTGCTGGTGGCCCGCCGCACTCTCACCCGCTGCGGCGCCACCGTCAGCACGGCGGGCAGCGGGGAGGAGGCGGTGCGGATGGTGGCAGCGGCTGTGAGTGCAGCAAGCGATGGCGCGGCGGCGCATGGCAGCGCTGTGCTGGATGTGGTGCTCATGGACCTGCAGATGCCCCACATGGACGGGTGAGCGGTGCCGCGCGGTGGTGAGTGGTGGGCATGGATGGGTGTGTGCGTGGTAGGCATAGATGGGTAATTGGTAGGCATGGATGGGTGAGTGGTGGGCATGGATGGGTGAGTGGTGGGCATGCATGGGTGAGTGGTGGCATGGATGGGTGAGTGGTGGTGAGCTGTGGTGAATGGTGGGCATGGATAACCATGCTAAGAGGTGTGGGCGGAATGGCAGCAAACTTCAATGAGAAATTGCTAAGACTTCTACGCAGCTTCCCAGGCCGGCACTTCATTACGGAATGCAAGCAGGGGTTGATGGAGAATTGAAACGACAAAGACGGAAATATATTACTGCCCTTCACATCCACTTTATCTGCATAATTTCTGCTTGATTCCTACTCACAGCACCCTACACACCCTTTCTTTCTCTGGTTTGTGCGATGCTGCCTGTGCTGTTATGCCTGTGCCGCACTCCTCCCAGGTTCATGGCAACTGAGGCGATACGCGAGCTCGAGAGGGCTGCAGCACTGCGATCCACCCCGGCAGCACACGCAGCAACTGACAGCGGTGCACAAAAAGACTCGCCGGCTGTTGCTGCTGCTGCCTCTCACCCCGTGATTCCAGCCCTCATGCTGCCCCGAGTGCCCATACTGGCGCTCACAGCAGATGTGGATGCTCACATCACACAGCGATGCCTTGCCAGTGGCTTCGATGGCATTCTGCAGAAGCCCATTGACCCCAAGCAGCTCGCCAATTTAATGCTAAGGATAGAAAGGCCTCCCCGGTTTGGACCCTTACGAACAATTTCACATCCAATGACATGATCGTTGTCTGCAATACCGTACTTAAGAACGTGTTCCTACACCTCGTATCAAGAGAACCTCATATCAGGCTCACACTAAAAATTCCCCGAAACCCCGAACCTCTCGCTAGTTTTACCAGGCATAAAGTACATTCTTGATACCGTACGAGGTTTCCTGATATGATGCGGTAGGAACATGCCCTAAGTTGGTTTGCAATGTAATATTCTAACGAAGGTAATGGGTTGTGTGTGTTGTACATGAGTGCAGTTATGCAGTTCTCATGTCATTGTGAGGAGAGGGAGGTTGCTATCAAACTACTGCGTGTACCATATGCCAGAATAGTGTGCAGGAATGAATCACTATGGTGGCTAGGGTGGATGAGTACAAATAGAGGCTACCCCACTACAGCGTACCGTATTACCCCGGATAGTAGCGCATATGCGCTGTCAGATTTATATGACATAGTTGCTGTAGGCTATAGTGGGGTAGCACATATGGGGTACAGGGTTTCTAGGGTTGTATTTGTACCCAATCTTTCCTTAGTCATTCCATTCCTGCTTACTCATTTCACATGGTATAGAGCGGGTTCCCTGTGGAACTCTGCCTAGGGCCCACCGAAGCGCGCCCCGAGGCGCGCTCAACTTTTTTTTCCGCTCTCGAGCGACCCTCCGTGTCGCCTCCCTCCCACACGCGGCCCCAGCCGCCCGCTACGATCGCGGCCCCAGCCGCCTGCTCGACGCGGCCCCCAGCCGCCTGCTCGACGCGGCCCCCCAGCCGCCTGCTCGACGCGGCCCTGCCGCCCGCTACGCCGCGGCCGCCGCCCACTACGATCGCGGCCCCGGCCGCCTGCTACGACCGCGGCCCCAGCCGCCTATTCGACCGCGGCCCCGCCGCCCGCTCCTGTCGCGGCCCCGGCTGCCTGCTCGCACGGCCTCGCTGCCCGCTACTACCGCGGCCCCGGCCGCCTGCTCGACCGCGGCCCCCCCCAGCCGCCTGTTCGACCGCGGCCCCGCTGCCCGCTACTGTCGCGGCCCCGGCCGCCTGCTAGCGCGGCCTCGCCGCCCTCTACTACCGCGGCCCCGGCCGCCTGCTTGCACGGCCCCGCCGCCTGCTACGACCGCGGCGCCAGCCGCCTGTTCGACCGCGGCCCCGCCGCCTACTACCGTAGCGGCCCCGGCCGTCTTCTCGCGCGGCCCCGCCGCCCACCTACTACCGCGGCCCCAGCCGCCTGCTCGCACGGCCCCGCCGCCTGCTACGACCGCGGCCTCCCAGCCCACTAGGCTGCGGCCGCCGCCTGCTCAACCGCGGCTTCGCCGCCCACTACGCATCGGCCCCGCCGTCCACCTGTAGCGACTGTGCGGGCGGACCTCTGAGCGGCTGTGCCGCCGAGCCGCCCGGGAGCCGAGCCGCCCTGCAGCCGAGCCGCCCGGGAGCCGAGCCGCCCTGCACCCGAGCCGCCCTGTCGCCGAGCCGCCCGGGAGTCGAGCCGCCCTGCCCCCGAGCTGCCCTGCCGCCGAGCCGCCCAGGAGCCGAGCCGCTGTGCACCCGAGCCGCCCGGTCGCCGAGCTGCCTTTCTGTCGAGCTACGCGACCTGCCCTGCCTGGTGAGCACAGTCCCACTGTCACTGCGTGCTCTCCCCCCTACTGCTTGCACTGCTTCCCAGTCGTCGTCATGGCTACCCCTAGTGTCCTAGCTTTTGACGCTGAGGGTCGCGCCATTGATTTTGAGGTCTGGCTAGACGACCTGCAGCTGTTCTTACAGTGCGACAGAGCTGACGACCTTTCTCTCTTTGACCTCACCTCTGGCGCCTCTCCTGCTCCTGCTACTGATACTGATCCCGCTGTCCGCTCTAAGTGGGCCACCCGCGATGCTGCTGCACGTCTTGCTGTGCGTCGCCACCTTCCTACCTCTGAGCGTGCGCACTTCAGTCAGTACAAGAGTGCTCAGACCTTGTACGACGCTGTAGTTGCGCGCTACTCCTCCCCTGCCACTGCTGCACTGAGCCGTCTCATGCTTCCCTACCTCTTTCCTGACCTCTCTGCCTTTCCCACTGTCGCTGACCTCATTACGCATCTCCGCACTAGTGACACTCGCTACCACGCCGCCCTTCCTGCTGAGTTCTGCGCTAAGAACCCCCCCCCCCCATGTACATCGCTCTCTACTACGTAGTCGCGCGCCTCCCTGACTCCCTTCGAGTCGTCAGGGACCACTTTCTCGCGGTCTGCCCCACCACGCTCACCGTGGACCTCCTCGAGAAGGCCCTCCTCGCAGCGGAGAAGAGCATAGTCGCTGTAGGTGCTTCTCGTGGTGACCCTCGCACCCCCATCTTTGAGGGGTGCTCTCCTTCCCCCTTGCTGCCCTCTGCTGCCTCTGCTGCTGCTGCCGACCTGCTTGGTCTTGAGTCGGTCGGCGCGGCGTCTGCCCCTAGTGGGAGACGTCGCTCCAGCAAGGGCAAGGGGGGCAAGGGCGCGGGTGGAGCTGGAGGGGGCGGTGGCGGTGGCGGCGGTGGCGGCGGGGGGAGTGGGGGTGGCGGCGGGACTAGTGGCGAAGGTGGTGGTGGTGGTGGCAGCAGCGGCGGGGACAGTAGTGGTGGTGCCAGCGGTGGTGGTGGAGGCAGCGGCGGGGGTGGAGGCGGCGGAGGTGGAGGCGGTGGAGGCGGCGGCGGAGGAGGCAGTGGTGGTGGAGGGGGTGGAGCTGGTCGGGGTGGTACCCAGCAGCGTAGCGGCGGTGGTGGTGGCCAGCGCTCGCAGCGGCAGCAGCAGCAGCGCTCTCGGGACATCCCTTCGCCTCAGCAGCTTCGTGAGTGGTACGCTGGGCGTCAGAGGGGTGGGGGTACTGGTCCCTGCACCTACGTTCTTCGTTCCGGCGACCGCGCGGGTGAGCAGTGTGGGGGTGCCCACGCCACCCAGCGCTGCTTTGGCCGCCTGACGGACGCCTGGCGTCAGCAGTTCCCTGGGGCTAGTGAGATCCCTCGCTGGGATGAGCTTCTCAGGGTTGGTGTAGCGATCTTTGATCTTGATTTTGATGCTATCCTTACTGCTATGTATGTTGTGGATTATAGTGAGGAGAATGAGGGTTACCGTTGTTTCCAGCCCGACCCGGGCATTGGTACTGCTGCGCTAGGTGCTTGTGAGGCTGCTGCTCTAGGTGCCAGTGCGTCTGCGCTCTCAGGTACTGGTGAGACTGCGCTCTCAGGTACTGCGTCGTCCTCGTCCTCCCTCACTTTCAAACTTGACTCCGGAGCTTCTCGCTCCTTCTTTCGAGACCGCACTACCCTTACGCCGCTCGGCCGACCGGTTGCAGTCTCCCTTGCTGACCCCTCTGGAGGTCCTGTCCTGTCTCACTTCTCCACTGTCCTCCCGTGTCCGGTTGCCCCTTCGGGCACCCTGTCGGGTCTGTACCTTCCCTCGTTCTCCACGAACTTGGTGAGTGGAGCGGACCTGCAGGATGGGGGTGTTCACCAGTTCACTCCTGCGAGTCAGCGGGTGACCCACTGCACGGAGGCACGCACAGGCCGACACCTGGCCACGTTCTCGCGTCGGCCGGGGTCGAGTCTCTACACCCTGACCGTTGAGTCTCCTCCTGTCCCTGCGTCTGGTCAGGTGGCTGCGTCGGGTCAGGTACTTGCTGCTGCGTCCCGGTCAGGTCCTGAGTCTGCCCCCTGTTCTTGTCGCCTCCTGTCTCACGAGACTCTCCTGTGGCACCACCGTCTTGGCCACCCCTCCTTGCCCCGTCTTCGGAGCATGGCTTCCCGTGTCCTTGTCTCTGGTCTTCCCCAGTCTCTCCCTCCTCTCCCCTCCGGGCCAGGACCTTCCTGTGTCCCCTGTGTCGAGGGTCGCCTCCGGGCTACTCCTCACTCCTCCCACTTCCCCCCGACAGAGGCTCCCCTGCAGACGCTTCACATGGATGTGTGGGGCCCAGCCCCCGTCCGTGGGCAGGGTTACGAGCGCTACTTCCTGTTGGTGGTTGACGACTACTCGCGTTACACCACAGTCCTCCCCTTGCGCAGCAAGGGTGCGGTCACTGAGGTGCTGATTGACTGGATCCGCGAGGCTCGTCTCCAGCTCAGGAAGAGCTTCGGCTCGGACTTTCCTGTTCTGCGTCTGCACTCGGACAGAGGCGGAGAGTTATCTTCTCGCCTTCTGCGGGACTACTGTCGTGCACGGGGGATCCGCCAGACCTTCACGCTTCCGGACTCACCACAGCAAAATGGGATTGCTGAGCGCCGCATTGGCATGGTCATGGATGTTGGTCGTACGTTCATGATGCATGCGGCTGCCCCCCATTTTCTGTGGCCGTTTGCAGTGAGGTACGCGGCGCATCAGCTCAACCTTCACCCCCGGGTCTCTCGGCCTGCGATGTCCCCAGCCTTGCTGTGGACGGGGAAGGTTGGCGATGCGTCTGTGTTCCGTGTCTGGGGATCTCGGGCGTTTGTCCGCGACTTGTCTGCGGACAAGCTGTCCCCTCGTGCTGCTCCCTGTGTCTTCCTTGGCTTCCCCACTGACGCCCCAGGGTGGCAGTTTTACCACCCCTCCTCTCGTCGTGTTCTGTCCTCCCAGGACGTCACGTTCGACGAGTCAGTCCCCTTCTACCGTCTCTTCCCCTACCGCACTCCTTCCCTCCCCCCTCCCCCGGACTTCCTTGTGCCGGTTCCCCCCCCGGTAGACCCCCTCCCCCCTCAGGTTCCTGCCCCCTCAGGTGTGTCCCAGGTAGACGCCGTTGACCCGGTCGAGGTTACTGGTGACTCTGGTGCTGCTGCGGGTGCTGAGCCTGGGGGTGCTGACTCTGGGGGTGCTGTGCGCGGGGGTGCTGAGCCTGGGGGTGCTACTGCTGGGGGTGCTGGGCCTGAGGGTGCTACTGCGGAGGGTGCGGAGCCTGGGGGTGCTGAGCCGGGGGGTGCTGTGCCTGGGGGTGCGGGGTCTGGGGGTGCTGGGTCGGGAGCTACTGAGCCTGGAGGTGCTGAGCTGGGAGCTGCTGAGCCTGGGGGTGCTGCGTCTGGAGCTGCTGAGCCTGGGGTTTCT